ATTGCAAAACATTGTCTCACAGTGACAAACCTTACTTCCAACAACTCTTGATGTTTCTTAGACCAAATTATGTGAGAAGATATCTGGTTGATTAATAAAGATTCACTTTGCTAGGATGAAGCTAGTGGAGTCCTAAATAAATAAGGGAAGGGAATTCATTCTTTAACTTAGAAGTTAATGTCCATAAAAACTATGGTGCCTAACCGGAAATCTATTCTTCAAAGATTCCTTGGAGCCCAAATAAAAATAGACAAAGAAAAAAAATAGATAAATGGGCAAACGCTGCAAAGATCATCCAATCCAGGGGTGGGCTACTGTGGATTCGTGCAAGGCTCTAGCTAGGATTCTGCCCAGTTCGGCAAACTCCCAAAGGCCACCTCTGACTGGCCAGGCACACTCCTCCCCTCCCCCCCCTCCCCGGAGTCACCACGCTCATCATGCCAGGTAAGTGCAAGGCCTATGTGGAGACTCGGGGAGGGGGAAAATGGGCCTACCGGAGGTTCTGGAAATCCAAAACGGGCCTGTTCCAGCCCCTGGAGCCAGGGGGAAGCAGTTTTCACCCTCCTGGAGGCTCGAAGAAAACCTCTGGAGCCTGGGAGGGCAAAAAACGCCCCCCCCCCCGCCCTGGTGCAGGAGGCCAACTAGGCTGCGCCCATCCAGCAACAGGGGAGCGAACCCATTGCTGCAATTTTTGAAGGCCACCCCTGATCCAATCTGACAGGATTCTGGCACTCTTGTCCAAAATCTCAAAACATCTCATGAGGAAATTCCAACATGAGATAACATTTTGCAAATGCTACAGATCTTTTTTAAACTTAAATTTTGGGACCCTGAAAACTGCTCTGGGGGAAGGACAAGATTATGCTCTGGCACCCACAGTCACCCCACGGCTGATTACTTAATTTATGCACTAGACCTCAAAATGTATTGATGAAAGAAACTGTTGCCCGAAGGAACCGTAATATTCTTTCAATGCACAAAACAGTAGCTAGGCAGTTCATTTTTGGAACTGTCTTCTTGAAGTTAAAAGAGTTCAAACAATTGTTTTAATTAAATCCTAGAAGAATGTCTTCAAAATGGATATTTAATGTAAGATTAAAGCAACCAGACAGCAGAAGAATTACAAAATTAACATTTGCCTACCATTGGTGGTTAGAATGACAGGTCTCTTGGTAGTGCTCATGAAGGTCTTTACTGCATTTAGAAAGCCAGTATCTTCATCAAATATTATATCAACCTAGGAGAATTGAAACATGTTTCTAATTGTTGTATATAGGCAGCCCTCAACTATAGGACCTGAAAAGTAACTTAAGTGCAATGGTAAATCAAACAGAGTATTATTTAGAATCACTAGGATTCTATTTATTGGAAATAACAAAATTTGAGTGGAATCTGAAGAACAGTTGCAGGAACTGAGTATGTCTAGTTTAATGAAAAGAAGGACTAGGGGAGACATGATAGCAGTGTTCCAATATCTCAGGGGCTGCC